CAATTAACAAACAGCTTTTAAAACTACTTCAAACTTTCTAGCTAGGCTTTTTCAAGCCAACTTAAAGTTTGTCTACAAACTTTACTATCTAGTTATTCTTGATCTCCACCAGGACTTCTTAAATGAATATTCTGGTTCCTGGGCAAACAATGCAAATGCAAGAAAGAGGTGTTGCGCTTTTCCAAGAGTACAACGCACTCAAAGACCACATGAGGAAGAACAAACACAGGACATTATGCAGATTGTCAGAGAGCACCGGAATCTGTTTCCAGGCTCCTCAAGATTACTGTGGTTGAAGGACTTGTCGGATCATCATAATATCTAGATCAGATCTCAGTTTTGTTCAAAGTTCACTTTCTTCACCAGTACAGTAATTTCACTTTTTAATATTCTGCTTCTACGTGTGCAAGAACTTTGCGACTGAAGGACATGTCGGATTCTCATCACGATCTAGATCAGTTCACAATTTTTCAAAGATCAGTTCTCAACAGCAGCGTTGTAATTCAGCTTTTTTTTTTTTTTAAAGATTTCATTTTTGGCGTTTGATGCCTTTCTTTCAATAGGACATAAGTGGACAGGAAGCAAAGAGAGAGGAGGACGGGATCGGGAAAGGTCCGTGAGCCGGGACTCGAACTCGGGACAGCTGAAGCGCAACGGCGCTACCTGTCAGTCTAACAACATTGTTCTGTGTTCTTGTTTTTAACCTAATTCACAGTTTACTAATGGTCTTGTATAATTAATTACGTGCTGTTATGGCCATTAAGACAGAATTTCAATTTTGTTAAGCACACCCCAAACGTAGTCCAATCTCAGCGAAATTTGGTTTGTTTTCATTTCTCATGAAGGGGAGTTTACTGGGCGGGTGAGAGCAGAAGATTTTAAAAGTCCAAAAATAAGGGCCACCCTAATATGAGGTTTAGCTAAGCCAAAAGTTTATTTTTTTTCTCCAGAACTTCATGCGACAATACAAATGTGAAACATTCCTCACATTAAGCCACTAAAACGGAAATGTGAGGAACAAAATCACGATGAGTCATACATACTGGTACCATTTTACCCGTATGTACAGGTGCATCCCAATAAATTAGAATGTCGTGAAAAAGTTAATTTATTTCAGTAATTCAACTCAAATTGTGAAACTTGTGTATTAAATAAATTCAATGCACACAGACTGAAGTAGTTTAAGTCTTTGGTTCTTTTAATTGTGATGATTTTGGTTCACACAATTAAAAGAACCAAAGACTTAAACTACTTCAGTCTGTGTGCATTGAATTTATTTAATACACGAGTTTCACAATTTGAGTAGAATTACTGAAATAAATGAACTTTTCCACGACATTCTAATTTATTGAGATGCACCTGTATGTCATAATGACAAAAAAGTATATATTTTTAGTAAAAAATATGCAAAATACAGTTTCATGGTCAGTAAGAAATATTTATGACAAGTAAATGTCCTCATTTCTTGACAACGGCAGGTGTGGCATAAAGTTTATTTTGGACTCTGCCTTCAAATCATTCACAGTTTCTAATGCTCTTTTTCTGTTCCGTGCCTTTTCTCAGCAGTGTAGCACTAAAGCATTTCCCAAGCTGCTGTGTGACAGCCGGATCAGAGCGAGCACTCCTGACAACTCCACTGTGTCAGGTAGGAAAAACAACAGGTCTTTTTAATTGAAAAGGGATCGAATCACCCAGTTAGCGGAGGATAGTCGAACAACTGTGTATGTACTGACAAGAGACAAGGATTTAAACACACGCAGCTATTGATCATGATCACGTAATTTATTTAGATAGACTTCACACACTCCCAAAACAGACTGAGGGATGTGCGAGTAGATATCAGCATAGATAGTGTCCTTACTGTATTTATGGATACTGATATTTCTAGGGGATTTATGTCTGTATGTTTCTTAGGTAGAGCGTTTATTGAAACACAAATGCACTGAAGCGAGTTCCAGCACTGGAAGTGCTTCCAAAACCAGTGACAAAACCACAGTGGATATCAGTCAATGCTCCCGAATTACATTTTGTCAGCTTACATGCAAATAAATGTCCTGAGAAACTGCTCAGAAAACAAAATTACTCATAACACACATAATTGATTTCACATTGATTAGTCTAAGTATTTTGATATCCAAAATGATCAATCAGAAAATACACTTTTTATTAAGATAAATATGTGAGACTAATACATAACACGCATTTACTAATATGTACAATATAGTGAGTTGAAGATGATTATGCTAGCGCTTTAGAAGATATAGAAAGATTCTTTAAGAAATGCCAAGGAGCTGCAGACTCTGTAACCATATTTATCTATAACTAATCTGTTTTATATTTTGTGTAATGTCAGCAAACATGCTCCAGATATGTCTTCCAGATAGATGGAAGGCCTAAGGAAAGCTGACCAGCACATCTGCTTTCCTGATTCAGATATATGCATATACTGTAAATATGACTCATAAATCCACTAAATTAGATTGTGAGGCCCTGTGCTAACACAAAGCTTTCATGTTTAAAAGCTGGGGTGTTTTATCATTCAGTCTAGCCTATTTGTAGTTTTGAATATTTTTGTTTGTTGAGAGAGGTGAGCAAGCAATCATGGTAAAATCAGAACCTGCTATATATAACATTATCGTTATAGATAGCTCTTAACCTACCATTAATCATGGCACCTTAACATAAAATATGTTACTTCAACACTTCTCGAGAACATATTACTCAGTGGATATCAATTTGAAGTTGGGAAATGACAAACAACCAAGCCGTATTTATACAATAGTACGAGTGCCATCAGTGCTTTTCAGGTTATCAGATATTGTGAGTGGGTTGATTCTCATCTGAAGATAAAAGCTGGTATAAACACAGCATCTTGCCAAAAGCTATATAGTTTCAAAGAAGAAGAGTCTTATTAGCTGCATCTCATACCAAGGTGCCACGTCTTGTTGTTTTCTCATTGGAAAAGCCTTTTAACACAAACCATTCACTGTATCTGTTCTGGAGTTGTCATACTTCAGTAACAAGATCGTTCTGACTCATGCCTAACCAACAACACAGAGGAAATGTCAGGTTTAGAGAGTAAATGTTTTCTGAACCAACAAGACCCGTGAAGTCTTTACCAGACACCAACGACCTAGTCTGATCTGTATTGCATAATAGATCATAACATTCACTGTGTTCTTCACATGCTTCATGTTAAATAAAACACATCATGACTGATCTACATCCACATAGGAAGTGTGTCCAAATGACACAGAATGTGGTCTAGCTTAAATACGGCTGATGGATACATTCTCCCAAGCTGCTTTCAAAAGGAGACACTAAACTGTATGGGAAAGATGGAAATGATAAAGCAGTGCCTGTAAATGCATAGTGCCATCTAGGGGTTTTTATATATGAGAAATAAAGGGAATGACACCTGAAAGACCAATTGTTAACACACAACACTCATCTTGGGAAATAAATATGGAAAATGGGAAATTTCGAGAGAGGTGAGTATTTAAGTAAGTTTAAATAGAAAATTATAGATTACATATGAAAGATTGACCCATGGGATGCGTACTTTACAAACAGGGAACACATCTGTAGGCTAAGTGGCACTTAAACATTTTCCAGATTTTCAATAAACATACATTGCAAATGAACTAGTGGATCATAAGTGCTACAGTATCAAGGAATGAGTTTAAAAAATGCATCTTTAATGAATAGGAAACTAAAACATTCGTGACCATCATAGTATAGAATGTTCTCATGTGGTTCTCATAAGGAAAAAAAATGTTAAGTGAACCTTTTAAAGAGAGTTTCTTCATCAAGAATCCTTTTTGAAATATTGCTTAGCAACAGCCCACTGAATACTAAATGAAATCCTTGAATATAAGTGATCCACTTAATAAAGGCTTCATTTATTCATGATCATCTCATAAAGTTCTGTGCTGATTAAATCTAATGCAGTGATGGTCAAAAAAATTTAAAAAAAATAAATAAAAGAGGTTTCTCATGCATTGGAAATTTCTTCTTCTTACTCTTCTGACCATTTCTGACTCAACAGGCTACCCACATTAACAACAGCAAATATGTTTATGCATGTGTTATCAACTGTAAATGTTATCAGCTGTATGTTACCTAGCCTCATGATGCTGATAGACCACAAAAAATCCTACAAAATAAAATATTGTGCCACAGTGTTACATGTCTGGATGTTTAATAGCATACATTTTGTCAGCATTAATGACTACTGAAAGTAATTAAAATAACCACTTTTGCATCTCATAATAACTTTAACAAAATAATGCAATTATATCACTATTGTATGTGAATCACTCAATATGGGCCAAATTTGCACATCTATCGTGACATTCCGTTCTATTCCACTTATGCAAAACAATTACTTGAAGCACTACAGGTGTTTCGAAAAATGCCATGGGTGTTTTAGCAGAAAATTACATAATTTAAAGGCCTATCCCAGGTGGTCTTTAGCCCCATTGTACCCAAACATAGAAAATAGTGTGTGTGAGAGGCAAAAAATAAAAATAAATAATTAAATAAATATATAAAGCTGCACAAAATACTGAAAGGCCAAAGGTGAAAGGTCATAACTTGGTCAAAATCTTGATGAAATTAGACAATATAAATAAATAATGTTCTATTTTTTTATTATTAAAAAAAAAAGATATTCTTGATAATGTCAAAAATCTATGGTTCCTGTACCAAAAACGATAGTAGTTATAGCATTTTCTTTACCGAAAACGGGGGAAATTACCCAAAGACAATAGAGTGGTTAAGCAGCTTCTGATGATGAGAGCTCATTCTCATCTCCGTTACTGTGGAAACCAACTTCACATCCCACTATACGCGAATTCCTACCAATAACCAAACTAAAACTATTCATTCCAATTGTCAGAATCTGCTTTTGTTAAAAAATGCATAAAAACGAACCTCAATATAAACTAATCTATGCAATCACGTGTATTTATTTAAAAAAAAAGGATGGCATAACTTACAGCAGTTAGTTACAGCGAAACTGTTAGCTACTTCCAGATTGTCGATGTGAGGCGTCAGTCTAAATTCAGCCGTTCCGAACTGAACCATTCCGATCCGAAACGCGCTGTACTCCTGATCAGCTCCCCTCGGAAACAAGCCCCCTGCACGACATACACAAAATATATGTTAAAATTATACAGTTCACATAATTTAAAACGTTAATTTAACAAAAATGACGTCCACACTAAACATACCAATTTGAACACTTGGAGACCCTCCAGTTGTCAACCCACATAAAAGGGAAATGAGACAAATCGATAAATTCTTAAACTGTTGCATCTCCACGACAGTGTGTGTTCACCCACTGTATGAAGGAAATATTTGTCGTTTATACAGTGGTGAATCAAATCCGTAACATGTTGAGGCGTTGGTGGAGAAAGAGCGCGGCTGCTGTCTGCAGGTGGTTCCTCTATCGCGGACTCCTGCCTCAGTCCCGCTTCTGGAGGAATAATGCACAACTCTCTCTCTCTGTCTC